CCTCGTCAGACAGATCAGTTAGCACGGAAAGGTAGCATTCTGGACAGATGTAATCAACCAACTTATAGTCACGACTGTAGTAACAGAAACCAATCCATAAACCTCCCCTTCAGCTTTCACAATTGACAAAGCTAGCAAGTTTAGGCTGCGCTTGAAACCATCCAAGTTTTGCGATTTCGTTGATTAGAATGTGCTAAAAGCACCGACCGCATTGTGAACTGGGTGCTTAGGAATTACTTAACTGACTCAGCCTTACTTCTGAGGAACACAAGCGCTTCGGAGAACAATATTAGTAAAATTCAAATTGGAAAGAATATGCGTGCAATAAAAACAAATTCGCCACCACCAGGAAAAAAGACACCATATGCTCAACTCTAAAATGAACCTGCTAAAGGTTTAAAAGCTCTCGTAAAGTACTCCTCTGCGTACTATAATTCAGCGGGAAAAAGCATGTATAAAGGTCCGATAAGTTAGTCAAAAGTGAGCAAGAAAAAAGTCTCCTGACCTGATTATTAAGGTATACTAAAAATCGTGTTTAAACCATAGGGAAACGGGCAGGTAGCTCACCATTGGGAGATAGGAGATGAGAGAAGCCACTACGAAGGGCAATTTCTGTGTCTTCCTGTCAATAATTTCTTGTAATTTCATATGACCGACTGCGACTAGGCCGACGAAGAGAACACAGACACCGACAACAGGAATTGTCACAGAGCAGACTGTCAGAGAACGACGCCATCGAGGATAGAAACGTTCCAGTCGTCCAGTTATCGGCGAGGGTTCCCAGTAACCCTGCAATTAGAGGAAGGCTGTAACAGGCGTCAGACAACCATCTTCCAGATCTTCGCGCAGATAGAAAGCGTGTGAAATGAGCCAACCTACATAATACTGGGGCCTCGGTTCCTCTAGTAGCTTTGACGGTCGATCCAGAGTGCCATAACGGTAGGTGTACGAGCTGTTGATCCGTTTCCAGGACTCCAAAAATAAAGTCGCCCAAAGCATTGTACACAGCGCCACAATAGGGTAATAGAGAGCGGCGGTTTTCTAGGGAAAAAGACGCGCACAGTCATGCAGCGGTGGCGAAAGTTATATTTGCCACTAAGGTAAAACTAGCATGATGGTAGAACTGAATTAAGCCAAAAACTTCGGAACAAGGAGCCTCAGATACTGCAACAAGGTTTTTGGCAGCATGA